CCAACAGCAGTAAAGTTAATTAATTATAATGAGGTTTTTTTCTCAGGAACTGCGAGCTCTAGGAGTAGTTGGTTTAACGTCATCGTTTTTCCCAGTTTTCCCTGTGACATCAGTCTTCGCTCGCTCTGTCATTGGCACGGCTACCGGTGGAAGTACCCAGGTAAATTTTTAAAGTTAAAATTGTTATAAAAGTTGTTAAAAGTTAGTAAGTGATGGAAGGTTGACCTTGTTTCAGTTGACCTCATTTTTCTGTGCACTTGCCCTTCTTTCAGTAGTCCTCTACATTGGACCGGCACTGGAATATTTGCCAAAAGTAATTTTGAAAAAGCATTTTTATTAACTTTTATCTTTCTACAATTTTGTCGGGAAAATAAGGATAACTGCTGCAATTACGTTAGAAACAGAAACATAGCAACATTTGTTTCAGTGTGTACTTGCGTCAATTGTAGTGGTATCAATGAAGGTGTATTTCGACAAGTTTGGAGAAGTTAAAAAGCTTTGGCCTATGTTTAAGATTGATTTGGTAAGCAACTTTTTAGAATATTCGAAGCAGATAAAAATGAACCGATTTTGCATAATTATTTCTACTGAAATCATAAACTCATTAACTTCTAAAATCTTCAATAAAACAAGAATTCTATGTTGCGAGACGGATTATTTATTAGCAAATTTAGTTTTTTGCAAGGAATAGACCTTTGTTTTGGTGTGTGAAACGGAAGATTTGTTTAGATTATATGGATTGTTAGCATGATACTTACCATTTGTTTCGACATGGCTGGAGGTCTAGCTATTGCAGCATTATTTGCGCTACTTACGACCCTGTTTAGAAATCAGAGGTAATCTTCTAAAGTCAGGTTACTTCTGATCATAATTTGACTGTCATAAAGAGACCTAAACTAAAGTCTGATGAACTTTACCTAAGTAAAATGGGCTAATTATGAGTAAGACAAAAGATAAGTCTGGAAATTTGTTCTTTGTTGCAATCCTGTTATTGTACAAAACTTCAGATAGGTGGAGCATAGTGGCTGCAAATCGTGAGTAAAGCTTTGTTTAGTGTTTTTTAAGGCTCTTCGTCGTTTGAGCAAAAAAAGAGCTTTTTCCCCACCTCATGCTTATAAAATTTCTTCTACTGCTCGTATTTCTTTTTCTCATTTTAAAGTCTTTCTGCAAACTGACGAGGAAAAAGTTGAAGTTGAGTAAAGAAGCTCTACAACAGTGATTGAACGCAAAACTTTCGCTAATGGTGTTGCAAATTTTTTTTTTACCGGCATCATTTCTAGCAGATAGTGCTTAAATGTAATCCTTCTGAAGCTGCAACTAAATATTTCTTGTTTTTTAGAAATGTATTTTGCTATTAATGAAGTTTTTTAAAAAACTTACATCATTTAGCTTAATTATTATTGGCAACATTTTTGCAATACAGTTGTTTTGCTATAATGTTTTGTTATAACAAACAGTCTGTTGGGCAATTTATTAGACTTCATATTTGTTATAGCTTAGGATACCCAAATTCTCCTTTGTTAAAATACACTTACTTTGATTTGAAGTAGGTAAGATATGAGTTTCTCGCTGCAATTAACATAGTGAAAAATAATTGTAAGTGTCTTATTTGGCCCAAAAGTGTTTTTTTTTTCAGTGAAATTTTATACATTAGACCGAGAGGAAAACTTTTAAACCGTTTGCATTTGATGTAACAAAAATCTGACGTGAAATTCAAGCTCCTACTTCTGTTTGGAATTTTTGTATATAAACGAAGCTCTGGTATTTATTAGATTTGTTTTTTTCAGTACAGAAATCTTTTGATTACTTCAACAGCATCTTTCCTGTGGAATAAAATAACAAAAAAGATGAACGTTTTTAACAGTTTGATCCTTCTGGAGACCCGTACAAGAGTAATTTTCTAGAGGAGAAATTTTTAATAAAATTTTTTTAGTGTAACAAGAAGTTGAGGAATATAAAGTGTTAATTACGTGGAACAGTCTCACTTGCTTTTGATTTTTATACCAAAGTTTATCTTTCAAAATGTAAAAAACTATCTTACATTATCAAAAAAAACTTCTTTCTTGTTTTAGGATATTAAGTCTTTGTAATTTGTCTTATTTTCTTCTCTTTCTTCTCTTCTGTATTTGTTTACCTCCTTAGAAAACATGCATAGCTCTGCTCTTTTTAAGTACCTTCTCTTTCGCACTCGTGACGAAGAACAAAAAACTGTGACTTCTGTCATCGGCTGGAACCTTAGCATTAGCAGTCAAATAAAATGGCATAAAAATAGAATTCTTCAAAGGTAAAAAACTTTACTGACAGGTAAAGATGCACACTGTTACGACAGTACATCTATCGCATTTATGTTACTATAGCGTCCAAAAAGAAAAACAGACTACTTTACAGTTAATGTTGAATGTTTTTGGAAGTATCAAAATTGTAACTTCCAGAATAACAGCCTTATTTTTGCTGCTCTCTCTTTTGTGAATTCATTCATTTTCTTTTTGGAAATTGGCCTTCTATTCTGTTTTTCTTCCTCAGCAATTTAGAATGAAAACAAAGATGATATGAATTTTCGGTTTTTTTACCCAATGAGGAAACGTATATTTATAAAACTTGGTAGTTTCAAAATATATGCGCAAAATGTACTCTTTGCAAAGCCTTTTCCCTAAAAAGTTGTTTAGCGGTGAAGACAAAAATAGAGCATTCTGTAAATAGTTACACATATGTAGTGGTAATACTTTTGTCTTCCTGCATTGTTTCTAATGCTTTGACAATGCCTCTTAAAGGAGAGACGCTGAAAAACCAAATGCACTTCTAGACTAAAAATTACTGCCGGTTTATTCTTTTCCTTTCTTTTCTTCCAATACGTCACTTTTTGCTCTTTTTTTTGAGTTTTAAAAACAGAGACCTTACGGCCATAAAAGCACAGAACAGTCACTCATCTATAAGCTTAAGCTGTTTTTACAGCTAAAACAATGCATTAAGCAACATTCTACAAGACTGCGTGAGGTTTCACGATACATTACTGCTTCTTAATATTTCTTGAAACGGGTTTTGTTTCTGCCAACAAATACCTATACGACTGTTTAGCTTCTTCAGTGTAACGTTTACCACTTCAGTGGACTGCAGCTTTCAATAAGATTATATTTTTAAGACCTAAATGGCATTATTTGTCAAAAAACGATAAAGGGCATTATCGTGAAACAAAGAAAAAAGAGGTGAAGTACATTGACTGTGAAACATGCATATTTCGTATGGATGGCCCGCTAATTTTCACAAGCGTCGACAGATTTGTTACGGTAAATTTTCAGACTCAAAATTTTACAAAGAATAAGTCTTTTTGTAATATGCTTCCCGATTAGCTGAATAAAAATTTTTGCCATAAAAATTCAACAAATAAGTTACCAATAAACGGCCCAAAGAATTTTATGATTGTTAGTCGTTGTCTCGTATATATATACCAAAAAAAAACATGTTTTTAGTCGCTACGTAAATGCGTGACGAATTGGAAAAGAATTCGAGCACAAAAGAACTACAAGTTCATGACAATTGAAGAAATGAACGAAGAAGCTGAAGTTTTTTTTCTTTGATTAAATTAATCAGTTATTTATCTGCTGAGTACTGGCAGCAAAAAATAAGTTGTAATTTACTAAAATACTTGAAAATATTTGAATAAGAACACTGAAACTTTGTTTCAGAATTATGAACGAATAAAATCGGAGGTCAAATACAGCGCCTTTTCGAGAAGAGATCGAAAACGAACTACTGGGCGACCTGAGGAACGTTTCTCGCTGGTTATCGATTGTTCAGGGTTTCCATATGTCGATTACCTCGGATTAGCAACAATCAAAAAAGTGTTTCATCAATTTTGAAATCATCTCAAGCAAAAATTCAGTTTTTGTTTAGAGCTTCTAACCACTGCCAACTTGGTCTCATTGAGGCGTATGTCAAAAGTGATGAGTAAAGAAAGGAAAAATAACCTCATGTATTTGAAGTTTTCAGGTTTATGCCGAGCTTGTTCAGTCTGGGGTCATCGTTTACTTGGCTGAACCACGAGGTCAATTTAAATAACTGTTATTTTGTACAAGCTTGAGAACAACTAGTACTTTTTTTTAATTTTTGGGTAAAATTTTTTCGTTTTTCTTTCATACAGTTAATAACTATGGTTAATAATTTGATGTACAGTTGCCTGTCAGAGTCAAACAAAGGAAAAAAACAGTTTAGGTGAATTGCTGAAAATGTTTGAACAAACGGATTTTTACGAAACAGTCGATAAATGTGTTATTTACCTACATTTACATGAGGCTGTGGAAGCTGCAGAAAAAGAAAGGTGTTTGCTTTATTGCTGTTTTTACTCAGTTGACAAGTTAACACTTTCTCCAATGAAGTTTTATGCTCTTTTTTTAGCCGATTTAAGAAGTATAAAAATTTTCAGAAGTACTCGACACAGAACATCTAGACAACGAGATCAAGATCAAGCCGTACTTGAAGAACTGGATCTGAATGTAAATTTAGCTGAAAATATTGAAGATACGAGACGATCATCATAATTTTTGCATTCTTTATTTATTTCAGCATTTTTTGCTTAGTAGATGCTAAATGAGAAGAAAAAAAGGAATTTTTATCAATAAAAACTTTGCATTTTTGGGTAATTATAAATTAGTCGTTAGCATATGACTTGCCAGAAAAAAAAATATTGTTTTTTAATAAAGGTTTTATTAGATTTTTTCTAAATGACTAGTAAAAAAAAATTGCTTTATATTGTAAGACAAAAAGTTTATAAAAATTTTAATGATACCATTAAAAAAGCTAAAAAAATTCTTTTAATTTTCACAGATAATTTAGCTACTGTAAATGAGAATTGAGCTGCTTAAATGACTGTTCTTTTTGAAATAAAATTTAATGATTCTTTCTTTATACTTCCTTCTTCTTGTGAACAAAAAAAAAAAAGAAAGGGAAACGAAGTAAACGAATTCTTTATGGTGTCTATTGCACAGTTATAGTTTCCCTGTCATCAATTCATCTGTCAAATTTAAGCAGAATTATAGTTGACTAAAACTTTACATCAGATCTGTAGTTTTTAATGTTTTATCAATTAGTTACGGCAGTTGTTTTAACAGAAACGCGTCATATAATTAAATTATTTCTAGCATCTGCACAAGTCAACATTTAAGTAACATTAAAAAGCTTTTAAGTTTTACCGGTCGCTTTGTTTCTCTCACTGAAGCGAACTTTGAATTATTTTTTGATTTTATATTGGCAACTGTTTTTTTTTCCGCACCTTTTTATGGCTATAAAGCATAGAGTTATTTATACGTAAAATACAGGTGGTGCTTTGTAGCTTTTTGCAGTGTCGCTGTCTTTTTATCATCGTATCGTACTGCAAATCAGGTAGTGTAGCAGAAAAAAATAAAAATAAAAAACAACGATAGACAGGAGAATGCGAGTTGGGGAGCTTAGTTATTGTCGGTATTGTTGACAGTGTTCTGCTAAAAACAAAGATCAAAATCAACAGCTCTGTGTCTGTGTGTGTCTGTGGGTGTGTGTCTGTGTCTGTGTCTGTGTGTTTGTGTTTGTTTTTGAGTGTCTAAGACGTTGAAATTTTTTTTTACTTATAAATAATCCGAAATATTAATGCATAATGCTTTCTTATCAGCAAAAAAAGTGAAAAAGCAGTTACGTTTATGGTTGACTGAGCAAAACCGTTGTAATATTGATCTGCTCAGTAAAGTTCGGTTTTTTTTTTTTTGCGCTTTTAAATTTCAAAAGTAAAGAGAAAAAAAACTTTTATTTAATTTTTCTGTTTTTTTTTTTT